GAAACATTATTAAGCAGGCCAAATTGTCATTCTACTAACATGATTTTAGATGACATGCAACAAATATTAACATTCTCATTTCTCTTTTACATGTACTGAGAGCATTAACAATGATACAGCAAATCTCAATTTGACAGATGAAATAAAAAGACACTTCATGGTACTTATCAACCACCATAGAGATTTCTTCAAAGACATCAGGTGAACTGGGGAAGGAAAGATTGTCCTATGCAGACCCCAAAAAGATATCCACAGGGATGCATACTGAGTTCACAATGCCTGTGATGATCCCGGAGATTGTAAGAAATAGGGAGAATGACATAACACTTCTTCACACAGGGTCTTATGGCCAATACCACTGTTTATATTGAGGTGTTAGACATGATGCTCAATGCATGGATTGAGAAAGTGACCATATATGTTCTAAAAAGACTGTTACCTCCAATTGACCAAGAATTTTCACAATTGTGTCACCTCATCCCCAATATTTTGCCTCTTAATTTGAATTTCCTAGACTTCGAAATCTGGGGTATTGTTCAAAAGAAAACCAATTAGCAGACATCCTTCTTCAAACCTTGTTAACTGGCATTACAGAAATCCAAAGAACTGCATCAAATAACAGAAACCACATTACTTGAGGACTTTTCAAAGCAGCAACAACTAAAATGGATACCAGTTGCTGATGTTCCATACTACTTCAAACAAGAGTTAGGAAGGAATCCCCATTAATACTGGAAAGAGCAATAATAGTTACTGAACATGAAGAACCTATTTTCCTGAAAGATTGTTTTAAGAGAAAGCTTTTTTGCACTTCAACTGAAAGTAACACTGGCTACTTGATCAATGAATGTTTCCTCGTGAGGAAATAGCTAATATACCCATTACTAGTCTTTATATTATAATTTGTTCTCAATTATCTGGTGTATCCATTCTCTATATTTAAAGCATACCTTATATCAGACTATTCAATATTAGAATAATTACCCAGGTCAACCTCTCAAATTCTCCTGAAGGAAATCACATATATTTTGAGACTAAAATCATTGAAAAATCCCAAATACTAATCCTGTATGCCTAAAAGAAAAGAACAAGAGGTTCTACAAAGATTTATTACAGCATAAGATATATAGATGACAGCATTTTGATGGAAGACACAAAAAATGTAACTGCAGGAGCTCCTAGTCAAGGTAGTAAAGGAAGGTGGGAAGAAAGGTTGAACCATCAATTGTATGAAGACAGCATGTATAGTTATTAGTAATGTTGTGGTACGATACACCTAATTTACATAAGTGGAGTACCGACGATATAAATATGGGTTGGTACCGGGAAGACGGGGGGAGTAAGAAGAGATCGAATCCAGAGACTCTGCCCGACTGCGATTTAGTCAACCCATTCTGCAGGAACAGTCTTCCCAAGAATATACCAAAACTAACTGTAAATATTGTGTACCTTTTCCTTGTTTCAATACATTTTGTTTACATACATTTTGTGTTGTATTATTATTATTCCATGCTTATCCAAGTTTCAACAAGTAAGTAGGAAAAACTGGCAAAGGAGCTTCAAGTTTGAGACATCACAACTAAACAAGGGTATAAATTTAACTATTTGGGAAATGCTATGTGAGACAATGTTTATATTTATAAACATTCAATAGTGAACATGCTTCCTCCATAAATAAGGTAAATTTTGAACAATATAATGGTGGTTTCCTTACAAATGGGAAATGAAGACTAAAAACCCTGCTGGGAAGTACATTTTCTTTGTCAGGTCTATGAAATACATGAGCTAGTAACACATTAAAAAAATTCTAAAGAAACACAAGGCATCTACTCAAACATAAATATACACAAAATAAATATATATATATATATATATATATATATATATATAATATATATATATATATATATATATATATATATATATAGAGAGAGAGAGAGAGAGATAGATAGATATATGGGATTGATATAAATAGAAAAATTGTCACTTAGTTTATTGGTGTTAATTTCAGCATCATGACTCTAGGGTTTTTAGTGAATCCTCCAGCAATCAAGCCATCCACTCATCAGGGGATATGACCTATATATATATATATATATATATATATAT